CCCACTTCGCATATGGAGGTGTCTTTAATCACTCGTTGGAAATTCCACACCCACAGCATAATTTTTCTTAAGTTAAAATGTTTTACGTTGCAAAGGGAAATCACGTACTTTATATAGAGATTTGAGAAATACAAAATGCAGCCCTGGGGCTGCTAAGAGCAGAAGGGGCTCCTCCCTGGGTCAGGAAGGCTCCCCAGGAGGTGGCAGAAGGTAGGAGAGAATGGGAGAGGGGAGGGCACTCAGGAAAACGAGCAGCACGTGCCAAGGCCCTGGGGTCGCTTTGCTTAAAGAATTGCAGCCATGAGGCTGGGCTGTGTCTTCCAGGCCCTTGGTTATCCCAAGGGCAAAGGAAGGGCAAGTAGGGAGGCTGCAGGCCATTAGGAGCGATTTCACTGGGTGACTCAAGACCGTGTTCGCTGCCCCTCCCCACCGCTGAGCACCAGGGTGGGCACGGCACCAGCACAGAGCCCAGCTGCCCACCCAGTCTGAGCAGCTCCCAAGGGCAGAGCTGCCTCTGGGCTTGTGGGCTCCTGGCCCAGGAGCCAGGCTCAGAGACCTTGCTGGGAGCCCTCGACCGGCGCCCTCCCACCCACGCAGAGGCCCTGAAGAAGGGCCATCGTGGACACTGGCCGCGGCCCCAGCGGGCCTTGGGGAGCTGTTCCCCTTGAAACCTGACACGCCTGGGCCGGGAGTCCTGCCCCTCACACTCCCCGCGTTACTCACGGGGAAGCCGAGGCAGGAGAGGCCCAGCCTGGCCCCGAGGACACCACTCTGCCGTCCCAGGGGTCCGGCCTCCTCTCAGGCCTGCGGTCGCCCCTGCTGTGTCCCCACAGCGACGTCCACTTGGCCACCCTCCCCGCGGAACACACAGTCGTCTTCCTCCTGCGCCTGCTCCCCGAGACGCCCCGCGAGGTCTTCGCGCTGTGGCAGGTGGCGGCCGAAGACTTCCGGCCCGTCCTGGGGGTCCTGCTGGACGGTCAGTTGGAGGGGAGTGGTGGGCCCCAGTCACTCCGCAAAGGCAGGAGCCACTGGTGCAGCACAGCCTCGGAGGCTTTGCACACCCATCGCGGCCCCCACCCTGCTGTTCCACTCTGGGTGCGTCCTCCTGCCTCTCACCTGGGGTCTCACGCGCCCCCTGCCCTGCCCCCCCAGCCAGCAGAAAGTCGTTGACCTACTTCAGCCGTGACCCCAGGGCCACCTTGCAGGAGGCCACCTTCGACCTGCCCGAAGTGAGGAGGATATTCTTTGGGAGCTTCCACAAGGTCCTGGAAGGTCCTGGAAGGACCAGAGCATGTGCCTCCCTGCCTAACACCCTCCTGGCTCTCAAGTTCTGGGACACACCCCCCACGGGGCTCTGCAGGACACAGGCTGCCCACGCCCGTCACCGTGGCTCCCCCTCTGCTCCTGTGGTCCCCTCCACCCTGGACGTCCTTACCTTAATTTGGGTCAAAGAGCATCCAGCCCTTTCTCCTGCGTCCCACAAGTCCCTAGGAGGGGCTGTGCGGGATGTCATTTGGTCCATTTCACAGGAGGGAAACTGAGGCCCCGCGAGGGGGGTCTCACGAGACTTGGGGTGGAGTCAGGATCCTGACCCCAGGCCCCAGGGGATGGTCACCTGCCCCTCCCCGCTCTGGCCCTGGCTTGTGGGCTTGGAAGGGAGCCCTTCTTGGCCCGGGGCCGCAGGAGACCTCCTGGTGTCTCCCAGGTGCACATAGCCGTGGGCCGCTCCAAGGTCAGGCTCTACGTGGACTGCCGGAAGGTGGCTGAGAAGCCCACTGGGGAGGCTGGCAGCCTGCCCACCACCGGCTTCGTCACACTGGGGAGACTGGCCAAGGCCCGGGGCCCCCGGAGCAGCTCAGCCTCGGTGAGCCAGACAACCCGGGGCTGGTGGACCCCCTCCCGCCCCCTGACCCAGCTGCACCTGGCCAACCCTGCCCCTCCCCACCACCTGCAGTTCCAGCTCCAGATGCTACAGATTGTGTGCAGTGACTCCTGGGCAGAGGAGGACAGGTGCTGCGAGCTCCCGGCTTCGGTAGGCGGGCAAGTGCCCACTGAGGGCAAAAGAGTCTGGGGGTAGACTGGCCATCCAGGTCATTGCCGCTCCGGGAGAAATCCAGACAGCCTTCCTGGAGGAGGCGGCCCCTGGGGCTAGAGCCGGAGCTCAGGGCAGCTGGATGTGTGTCCTGGAGGCCCTGAGGGAAGGCAGGCTGGAGCAGGCCCGGAAGCCCCCAGCCCCAGGGGTGGCTGCTTCCACGTGCTCAGGGCCACTGCCCTTTTCTGTGGGCACAGTTGTGGGCAGGGGTCCTTACCGACTCCCCTGGGTGCCCACACCGGTCTTGGCCATGCTGGTGGCCTGCAAGGGAGTGAGAGAGGGAGTCCTGTTGGGGGCTTGTGCCAGGCAGCTTGGGGGGTGGGCACCCAGGACCAGGTCCTGCCCCCTCCCCCCCAGCCTCCCAGGGGTGGGTTTGGAGGCTCTCTGGACCCTGGTGTCTGTGGATACCCTGAGCTCTAGGGTCAAACAAGAACTGAGGAAAGGGTCCATTTAATGGTGGTGGTGTCCTTTCTCCCAGAAGAATGGAGAGACCTGCCCTGCCTTCCCTTCTGCCTGTGCGTGTTCCTCGCAGACCCCTGGGCCCCCGGGCCCCCAAGGACCTCCTGTGAGTCCAGCAGCTCCTCCCTGGGGTGACCAGGGGCTCCCGGCAACATCTTGCTGCCAGTGGGGGTGAGGGTGGCCCCCGCATGCCCCAGCAGCCGTCCCTAGGCCCACCACCAGGTGGGATAAAGACTCCACGAGTGTCCTGCCTGCTTCTTCCGCCCACTGGCCCACGAGCCCCCTGCTGCAGGCCCCTTCCTCCCAATGGCCACCCTCTCCCGAGCAGGCCCCTCTCTGGTGTCGGAGCCATACTCCCCCACTGGGGTGGGGGTCCGGGCCCAGCAGTCTGCGGCACCGTGCTGGCCCCTGGCCACAAGTCGCAGCCACGCAGGCAGCCTCTGTCCTGGGCGCTCTGGGCTGTAGGGTAGCCCTGGGGGGCCTTTCCCCAGGCCTCCAAGGAGGCGGCTCCAGGCCTGGGCCCCGCTGTGGGGCAGGTCCAGACCCTCTGGCCGCCCTGAGGCTCCAGGACCCGTTCTAGCTGGTGGTCCACAGACCTCACCAGGGAGGGGCCAGGGCTGGAACCCAGACCCGCCTGAGCCCATGAACGCGGTAACCGGTCAGCTGTGGGAGGGCTGGGTGGGCCAGGACGCCCTCGCCCCGGAGCCCCCCTCCTCCTCCCCCTGAAGGCGGGGACTGGAGTCCAGGGCACTGCTGGGGAGGCCAGCGTGCAGCCCGGCCTCAGCCTCGTTTGTGCCTCTGCAGGGCCACCCCGGGAGGGACGGAGCCCCAGGAGAGCAGGGCTTCCCAGGGCCCAGGGTGAGTTGTGAGGCGTCCTGGTGGGGTGGGTGCAGGACTGAGGCCCCCGCAGCCCAACCCCAGGCAGGAGCGGGGCCCCCCAACCGGGCTATGGTGCCCTCCCCGCGGGGCCCCAGCCTAGGGACCGCGTGACGGGCAGTCTTGGGCGTCTGGCCAGGACGTGTGTCCTCTGCCTTCAAGTGTGTTTCTCTCCCCAGTGGCTCCACCGGCTTTGAAAGTTGCTGGTGTTTTCTTGTTGGACGCGTGGCCTCCAGCCCCCGCTCCGCTCGGTTACCTCTTCTTTGCTCGTGGGGCTCTAGGTTTAACGGAAGCACCTGAGCCCTGAGTTGTGACTAGTTTACACTGTTGTTGTCTTTTGACCTGGTCTACCTACCGTACGTGTCTCCAGGCAGATTTTAGGATCGCCTTTGTCTAGTGGACCGCGTGGGTCTGTCTCTACAGCTCCTGACTTCCACACCGTGTTTGAAGGCTTTCCTGAGTCTGAGAGGGTCCACCTGCTCCCTGGTGCTTCTGGCACCTTCCGACACACAACGTGCTTCCTCCTCCCTCCCCAGACCACTGCCCCCTCTGTCCTCCCAGTGTTGGGTAGCCAGGCCCCGCCAACTTCAAAAGCAGCCTAATCACATCACGAGTTTCCACGGACTCCAGAGTCCAAACAGCTGCCTCAGACACGGATCCTGGTGTCCAGCTCCACCTCAGGCTCCCCAAATCCTCTGTCCTCTCTGTGTACGATTTTTGTGTCCTATGTATTATTCAGTTATCTTATTTGCAATAGTTTTTTTTTATTTTCAGATGGTTTTCTTGGAATTTCCTGGTTTAAATTTACATCACCTGTGAAAAATCACTTCACTGACTCCGGTTTTTATTACACTCGTTTATTTTTCTTTTTCTCGTTTATTTGTCTGGTGTGGTGACACTCCAGTTTGTCAGAGAACCGTGGTGATAGAAGACATCCTCATCTTGACTTCTCAGAAATGCTGCTGGTGTTTGCCGGTTGAGTGTGGGGCTGGCCTGGGAGCTGAGACAGATACATTTTGCCACGTGGTGGCCAGATCCTACCCTTATTTTATTAGGAGATTCTATACATCAAGAGTGGGCGTTAAATAAGATTTAGCGCCTCGTCAGCTGCTGTGGACGCAAACAAATCATTTTTCTTCTTGAAGCTATTAGATTGGTGAATGATTTTATCTCTCCCACATTCTGAACTGCGCCTGCTCCCGTTAAAAGCCGGCTTGGTCACTGAGCACTCACTGCCCATTTAATGGGCTGCAGGCTTCTGTGCGCTCAGGTTTTATTTAGGATTTTTGCATTGATATTCACAAATGGGAATGCCTGTGGTTTTCTTTAGAGTTTGGTGCATTGACATGCATGACTCACACGATTATTTGAAAGCAGTCTTTTTGTTTTTAAACTGCAAATCAAGCAGTTTAAATGGCGTTAGCGTCATCTGTCCCTTAGAGGTTTGGTAGAATGTTCTGGTGTTTGGGGTTCAGGGCTCTGTGCTGGCCCGTCCAGAGTTGGCCCAGCTCCTGGCTATACAGTGGGGTCATAGCAGGACCCCTCCCTCCCAGAGTGGTCTGCGGGAGTGAAGATGCCTGTGACGGGCCTGGGTCTGGAGACCATGGGCCGGCAGGAAAGCGGGATCGAAGGAGGGGCAGCAGGACGGGCCACACGTCTTCTCAGCCCCACCACACACCCCCATGTCTCTAGGGAGAGCCCGGGCCACCCGGACAGATGGGACCCGAGGGTCCTGGAGGTCAGCAGGGGTCACCAGGCACCCAGGGCCAAACCATCCAGGGACCCATGGTAGGTGTTGCCTACCCCCCAGCACCCCCCCCCAGCCCCTCTCCCCTCGCCCTCCCTCCCATCCCCCCGCCCCTCTCCCCTCACCCTCCTGCCCATCCATCTTCCCCATCCAGGGTCCACCAGGGGTCAAAGGAGAGAAGGGGGACCATGGACGCCCCGGCTTGCAGGTAGTGGGTCAGACCACACTCGGAGCACCAGTGCTGTGTGCTCGGGACGGAGGTCTGGGGACAGGGCCTCCCCCTCCGGGTTGGACCTCGGCCCAGCCTGGCTGGCTGCCTCTGTTCTATTCCAGGGCCACCCCGGCCTCCAGGGCACCCCTGGGACGGTTGGCGTCCAGGGACCAAAGGTGGGAGAGGAGCCTGGCCGGGAGGGTCTGGAGATGGAGGCTGTGGTGGGGCTTCCTTCTCTGCCCCACACCCACCTCCCCCCGTATCCTGCCCCCGCCGGGGCCTGGCTGGTGGGAGGGGAGTGTCAGCCCACACAGACTGGGGCATGAGTGGCCACTGCCCGGGCCAGGGGCAGGCCCTGGGATGGACCAACCTCAGCCCGGCACAAGCACGTACCCCCAACAGTGGTGGGTTTGGGGGGGTCACTGTGGGAGGGGCACCTGCCTCTGCCCCGCCCACCCCTTCCTTTGCCCTCAGGGAATGAGAGGCCTGGAGGGGACTGCTGGCCTGCCCGGAGCCCCTGGCCCTAGGGTGCGTATCGCCTCCTCCGTGAGCCCCCAATGCCACTCACCCCACCAGCCCTCCCCAGGTTTCTTGGGGCTGAGCTGAACAGTGACCGGGGAGGCCTCTCGGCCCCAGGCTGGGGCCTTGTCAGCGGCAGCGCTGGGCGCATGAGAGTCCTTATCCAAGGAGCGCAGCAGCCGCGCCCCCCCCCCCCCCCCCCCCCCCCCCCCCCCCCCCCCCCCCCCCCCCCCCCCCCCCCCCC